GTGTGGCTTTTCGAATGCTCGATGGGTTATTCTTTACTGTTTAGCTCGATTGTGTTCGCAGTGCGTTTGATTCGGTTTTAGACCCCATTGATTCACTTCTGTCGGAAAATCCTGTGTTTTTATATTTAGTATCTAAAGTTGCTTACTTTGATTTTAGGGTTCTTACCAATTTTGTGTCAGTCCCAATTATATACTCTCCTGAAAAGGAAAAAAAGTAGTGTTTGCTGATTTAAGAGTGAAGAAATCTACAATTCATGTCAATTTCCAATCATTAAGAGTTTTGTAGGTTTAAAGTTTCAAGCTCTCGGTTTCCAATGCTGCTTCCGAGATGGTTTGCAGAAGCAATCTTGCTCCTAATTTCAATTCTTGCGTCTACAAACGGTAATTTCACCTAATCGCATTGCATCTCTGAGTGTTTTTTTTGGGGGTCTCTGATGAAGTTTTAGGACTCTGAGTTTGTTAAATCTGATTCTTTATACAGCTGCATTCATCGGTGTGAACATCGGGACTGATCTTACCAACATGCCATCGCCTTCAGACATTGTAACGCTTCTCAAATCACGACAAATCACACACGTTCGTCTCTATGATGCTAATAGCCATATGCTCAAAGCATTTGCCAACACCAGTATCGAAGTAATGGTCGGTGTAACCAATGAAGAAATCCTCAAAATCGGACGGTTTCCTTCAGCAGCAGCTTTATGGGTTAACAAGAACGTAGCTGCTTATATTCCTTCGACTAACATAACCGCCATTGCTGTTGGTAGCGAAGTTCTCACCGCAACTCCTCACGTGGCTCCGATTCTTGCCTCGGCTCTCAACAACATTCACAAGGCTCTTGTGGCTTCCAATCTCAACTTTCAGGTCAAAGTTTCGAGCCCGATGTCTATGGATATAATGCCTAAACCGTTTCCTCCATCTACATCGACCTTTAGCCCGTCGTGGAACACTACAGTTTATCAGCTTCTCCAGTTTTTGAAGAACACCGGTTCTTATTTCATGTTAAACGCGTATCCTTACTACGGTTACACAACCGCAAACGGGATTTTCCCGCTTGATTACGCATTGTTCAAGCAGCTGTCTTCGGTGAAGCAGATTGTTGACCCCAACACGCTTTTACATTACAACAGCATGTTTGATGCTATGGTTGATGCTGCTTATTACTCCATGGAAGCTTTGAATTTCTCCAAGATTCCGGTCGTTGTCACGGAAACAGGCTGGCCTTCATTCGGTGGAAGCGATGAAGCAGCTGCAACCGTAGAAAACGCAGAGACATTCAACAACAATTTGATCAAACGCGTGTTCAACAACTCGGGTCCTCCTAGCCAACCAGACATGCCGATTAACACATACATCTACGAGCTCTACAACGAAGACAAGCGGTCTGGACCAGTCTCCGAAAGAAACTGGGGGATTTTGTTTCCGAATGGGACATCGGTCTATCCTCTAAGCTTAAGCGGGGGCTCTGAATCTGCAGCTCTAAACGGTTCATTGTTGTTCTGCGTAGCTAAAGCAGATGCTGATGATGATAAGTTGCAGGATGGTTTGAATTGGGCGTGTGGTCAAGGCCGAGCTAACTGCGCCGCGATTCAACCTGGCCAACCGTGCTTTCTCCCTAACGATATCAAGAGCCACGCTTCTTTTGCTTACAATGACTATTACCAGAAGATGAAAAGTGCAGGTGGAACTTGTGACTTCGATGGTACAGCCATCACTACGACTAGAGATCCTAGTAAGTTTCTCGTTTTCTTTTTACACGTTCTATGTTTACACGTTGTTTTTCCATCGCGTAAATCTCAAATATCGATGGCTTGTTCGTTTTGCAGGCTATAGAACATGTGCATATACTGGAAGGTAACAATCCGAATTGTTTTGTCTTTTTAAGTTTCTAAAACATTTTGAAATGAGGTCTTTTCTAAACTCTTTGATATCTTTTTCCATCTAGCGCAAACGCAAACGCAAACGCAACTGGAGGAAACTTTACTCCTGCGTTAGGACCTGTAAGTCCATTGGGAGGGAACGCAAACGCACTAATCATCTCCATCTACCATCTTTCCTTCTTGGCACCATTAGCTCTCACACTACTGTTACTTCAGCCAGACCGCCTTTTCTAGAACGCGGGCCAAAACGCGGTTTTGTAGTAACCGGAGAAGTCTACCGGCGGCTTGGTTTTTTCCGGTTACTAGTATTTATTGTTTTACTTTGGTTGGTGTAGTTTTAAGTGTAGCTAGAGAGAGAGAGAGGTCACAAGTTTGTCATTCTTTTTTGTTTTGATCTTTGTTTGAACTATAAAATCTTCGAATTAGAGTGATTTAAATTTTATATTCATATGAATCATTGTCTTGTAACTATTGAGGTATCATGGAGAACTTGCGTTATTCCTGATATATATATTCAAGAAAAATTGATAAGAGTAAAAAATTGATATTTTTTTTGCTAAATCAAAAAGGGTCCAAAATAACCCAAAA